TTTCTATGAATTTGATGAAGAGAAGTTTGTACTTCTTCGCATCATTAATGATCAGAGGTGAGATAATTGAGTCAAGTGTGACATAGTTGGCTGGGCCCCACCTAGTAGAATTTTATCATTGGCATCTTAAATTTGATCGAGGTTGTGGCTTTGTAGTCTCCACAGAGAGCATTGTTAGGTTGTACTTATCGCTTTTTTGATTGACGAAGAGAAGGAATCTTCATGGTCTTCTTTTTTGGGAGATATTGCTCATCATCTAGAAGAGTTGGAATAACAAATAAGGGGTAGGTTGGTGATTAAAAATAAGAGGCGGCTTAGTTGTGCTATCAAGCAGTCTGTACGAGGCGAGCAGACTACGAGATCTATTAAAGGTTCTCTGATTCATTCTAGTTAGACAATCCTCCATGTCTTAGAATTTATTTAGAGGTGATGTTGTAACGGAGACACTCTTTGGGTACTTCTCTAGTTTCTTCAATTATGACCAGGTTATTAATCTTCAACATTTTTGCAATACACTCCTAAGATGCCGAATCCAATATTGTTTATGAAACGAACAATAAGACTTCACCAAAGGTACAAATTGTGCCCATGGGAGTAGAGAAATGAAATAGATTTTTTGTTTATAGTGGACTCATTTGGCGCTTTAGACAGACGGGCTGGTTAAAGTAAACTTAGAGAGATATCTATAAACATCATACATATTCTTGAACAATAACTCGTATAAAGGTGAGGGTGAGGGTGAATGCCCTTGATATAAAATGGGATATTCGATAAGTCATAGGAAAAATACATAAATTGACTCCAAGTTGTGTTTGGCAACTGAATTAGGTTGATAGCTATTCACTAGGTAGGAAATTTTTGTGTGTTCTAAATACAGGGTAAGTACCCTCCATTAGATTTTCTGATAAGAACCCCTTGTAGGAAGGCAACTGCACTGAACAAGTTCATTCATCAGTACACAACCTTACGAGTTCTTCAAGGAAGCTGTTCATTGAGTACTGAGGATTGAAAATTCTTTCTATTGGGGGAAACTTGACAAGTTCTAGCTTTAGGATGACTCTTGACTTTGGGTGAGCATTGTCGTATTTATGGCTTTTATTGTAATTAAAGGTAATTTGGTTTTTTTGGTTTTATTTACTTGTATGCCCTAGTCCTCCTCTATAAAAGGGAGTTAAGAGCTTATGAGAGTTGTATAATGAGAAGTGTGAGTTGTAACCCCTAATATTTTTTTTTCACCCATCCGGTGCTAATGAAATCTCTCTCTCCGGGAACGTAGGTGAATCAACTCAATGCTAAACAACGTAAATCTTTTGTGTTTGATTGTTGTTGTGTGATTTTTTTTGTTTCCGTCCTGTTTTCACATAACAACTGATATTAGAACACGTTGTTAGGTTTTTCAATATCTACTATGGTGGTGAAAAAGTCGATTCATCAGATATTTATGTATCTTGTCAAAATTGATGTGACAAAATTTAATGACAGAAAATTTTAGCATGTGACGATGTGATGTGGTGGATGCGCTGTGTTCTCTAAATCTGGAGAAAGTCTTGGATAAGAAAGAATGTCCTGAAGAGATGTTAGAGGGAGATTGGTTGAAGATGAATATGAGTGCTTGTGGCTTGATTCGAAATTGCATGATTCAGGAAATCAAATGGGGTGATGATGGAGAATTCTGCAAGGAAATTGTGGAGGACATTGAAGAACAAATATCTCACTAAGAGCGTGAAAAACCATCTCCATATGAAGCGTCGACTCTACATATTCCAGTTGAGATAGGAGATTACTATTGATAAACACTTGAATGACTTAATAATGTTGTTAGCAGATCCGTTAAATTTGGATGAGGATGTTACAGTACCACTTCACTGTTTGAGAGACACCACAACAGAATGGGTGACAATGAGGATAAACCGGACTTTGGTGGAGAAATTTTGGTATATGTTATCCAATACTGGGTTGGATAGAATGTATGGCTGAGGCCATAGAATATGTATGTCACATGGTGAACCTTTCATTTTCTGCAACTATGGGGAAGAAGACCCCAAAGAAAATGTGATCAGGGCATCCTGTTAGAGATTATGAGCACGTGAGTGTTTGATATTCAACTTACTATCACGTGCAGAATGATAAACTAGAGCCATGAGCAAAGAATGTGATCGTCATTAGCTTTAGCCGTGGAGCACGGGCTTTAAGCTGTATGATTAGTTAGAAAGGAACGTTTTCATTAGCAGGGATGTTACATTCAATGAGACAAGCTTGTTAAAAAATCAAGACTCAAAGCAGGTAAAGAGTTTTGCTGGGACCACATATATGCAACAAAAATTGGAGTTTGTTGCAACTTCATTTGTTCCATAGAGTTCTTCCACTCCAACTCAAATATCTTATTCTGTTGTAACTCATGAGGTATTTGTTGATAGTGTTTAGGAGGAGGTGGAACAAGATGCTGACGATGAGATTCCTGCTCAGGAATCAATTGCTAGGAGCTGGACCAGACTTTGGAATGTCCCAGAATCAATTTGGTTGAGGGATCACATTGCATTTGCATTTTCAGACATAGAGACAGAAATTATGTCACTATAAAGATGCGGTAGAGAGCCCAGATTATGATCTTTGGAGATCTGCAATGGATAAAGATAAGAGTCCCTTTAGAAGAATTGTACTTGGAGGTTGGTGAAGCTTCCTCCAGAAAGGAAAGTCATTGGGTGCAAATGGGTGTATGCAAAGAAGGATCTCATGGAGCTGATGTGCAGTACAAGGCAAGATTAGTGGCAAAAGGCTTTGCACAATGTGAAAATATTGATTATGACGAGGTGTTCTCCCCAGTGCTCAAGTATCCCTCAATCTGTGCTTTCTTAGTGCTTGTAGTATAGTACGGTTTCTTGGAACAACTCGATTTGAAGACTACATTTCTACACGGAAAATTATTAGAAGAGATATGTATGTTGCAGTCGTCTGGATATGAAGAATAAAAAAACTTGGTTTGCAAACTAGACCAATCTTTGTATGGGTTGAAATAGTCACCATGACAGTGATATAAAAAAAATTGATAGATTCATGAGGGGATAGAAGTGCACGAGGAGCTAGTATGATCATTGTGCATATTTTTCGAAGTTGGCCAACGGTGAGTTTATTTACTTACTTTTATATGTTGATGATATGTTGATTGCATATGCTAGTCAGATTGAGATTGATAGGATGAATAATCAACTGTTCAAATATTTTGAAATGAAGTAGGGTGATGCTCGCAAAATTCTTGGCATAGAGATTCTTAGGGACAAGACAGTTGGAAAGGTTTGGCTTTCGTAAGGAGCTTATGTTAGGAAGATGCTGAAGAAATTTGGAGTTGATAACTCTAGCAAGGCGACAAGTTTATCCATTGCATCTCACTTTCAGTTGAGTTTAGACAGTGTCCTAAAGATGATTAGGAAAGGCAAAATATATTATCAGTTTCTTATGCTAGTGCAATGGGCAGTAGGATGTATGTCATGGTTTGTATTATATCAAACATTGCACAATCAGTTGGTGTTGTGAGCATGTTCATGCATGATCCATGAAGGAAACATTGACAGGCTGTGAAGAATATTTTGAGGTATCTGAAGGTTACAATTAATGTTGGTTTGGTATTTGAGAGACATTCATCTACTGCAGATTTGTGTGTAAGTTATATTGACTCAGACTATGCAGGTGATGTAGATAGACAAAGATCTATGACTGACTATTTATTAACATTGGTAGAAGGTCCAGTTAGTTGGAGGTCAGTTCTCAGTTTACTGTTGTTTTGTCTACTATGGAGGTGAGTACATGACATTGACAAAGGCGATGAATGAAGCAATATGGATGCAGAGCCTATTGGATGACTTGGGAGTTGATCATGAGTCTCTGACGGTCTTATGTGATAGTGAGAGTGCAATATTTTTGCCATAAATCTAGTTCTTCATGCTCGTACCAAGCATATTGATGTGAGGTATCAATTTGTTTGAGACTTAATTGAAGAAAGTAAGGTTCTGAATAAGATAGATATGCAGGAGACTCCAGCGGACATGCTCGTGAAGGTACTGCTAGTCCAGAAGTTCACTGATTGCCCAGTCGGACATTTTGAAGAACTACGCAAGGTTTTATTCCTTCATGAGTGGGGTATGTAGGCAACCATCATGGTGTAGCTGAATTAGAGTTTGAAACTCCTTTGATCATCTCTCACTTATCTAGAAGTAAGACTCAAGATGGATATTGTTGTATTTATGGCTTTTATTGTAATTAAGGGTAATTAGTTCTTTTGACTTTATTTACTTGTATGCCCTAGTCTTCTTCTTTAAAAGAGACTTAAGGGCTTATTGAGAGTTGTATGGTGAGAAGTGTGAGTTGTAACCCCTAGCCTTTTTCTTTCCCCCATCCCGATGCTAGTGAAATCTCCCTACTTGTGGATGTAGACGAATCAATTTAATGTCAAACCACATAAATCTTTTGTGTTTGATTGTTGTTATGTGAAATTTCTTTGTTTCAACAGTGTTTTCGCATAACAAGTCTATGTTTTGTTAATATCTAGTCATATGCTGTCTGAGTTAGTTCTCATGTGGGAAATGGATTTATTTTTTACTTTTGTGAATATCTATTTGTGCTGAACTTGATTCATGTTCTTATGTTGACTTGATCAACTTGACCTAGACAATATGGGTAAATGCATTTATTTTTTTGTTTTTGAAAGATAGTGTAGTTGGTGGGAGAGGGGGGGCTGGAGCGCTAAGTTGGTCGTCTTTATTGTGATGTACGGTTCAAATGGTTTGGCTCACGATACCATGTTCCTGCATTGTTTTGTTGACTGGAGGCGCATGTTATGGATGGTCTTTATATCGTGGATTGTGAAATGTAGGGATATAGCTTCCACAAAAAATGGGTTGTTTTTCAAAATTTTGAAATCCATTCAAATGTTTTATTTCTGCTTTCATGTGTTTCACTTTGAAATTTGATTCCCAAATTATTTCAAATTCTTTCGTATGGAATAGGTGCGGTCAAAATTGAGAAATGCTGCGAGGCTGACTAAGCATACAGTAAGTAGAGATGGAGATCTTGCCTCATTGAAGATTGCTGCTATTGTGCCTGAAGAAGAGCAAGTCTATTTGAACGAGATGCAGATGATTTGGGTCCTTGAAAGGAGGCTTCATCAACTGAAGCAGCAATTGGTGGCTTGCAAAGCTGATAATGAGGTGCAGGTGAAAAATCTTTCTGGAGAAATGGCTGTAATCTATGTTCCAGTTGCAGAGATAAAACAGAAATCATGTTGCGAAATCATCAGGTCATGACTTTGAATATTTTTTCTGAACACAATATAGAAGGATCCGGCCCTACCAATGAGCTTCTTCATAATATGCTTGGTGCTTCTATAGAGAGGAAAATAACTAGGGCCATTTACATACATAGCACTCAGTTCTTATGGATTTACGCAAATCACACCAAAACTTCCATTTTTACATTCATAGCATCCAATTCTCATGTATCACAACAAAAATAGCACTAATTACCACTTTTAAAATTCATATCCTCCTTTTCGTGCAGAGGTAAAGTCTGTTCATGTAAATATGGAAGTTTAGATGTGAAATACACAAATCCATAAGAATTGCGTGCTACATATGTAAATTTCTCAAATAAAATATAAATATATATATATATATATATATATATTCGTATAATTCTCATATAGTTTTTTGTCCTATTCTGATGCAATACCTGGGCACTGCAAATATTATACTTTACTGCATATTAGCCACGAGAGAAATTCCTGTCATGTAAGAATAGTTTTTGGGAGTTATTATGGCTTGTATTTCCGTGGAAACTCCAATAGTTTTTTCTATTATCTGTGTACTTTTCTCTTTAAAACTAATTGGAACAAAGCTTCTATCTACTAGAAAGATGGCGAGTCTGAATGATGCCGTTCTCTGGAACAAGGTTTCATGGTCACACGAACTGTTTGGTTCACAGTAAGTTGTTTTATTTATGGCAACTGTAATGTGGAAGGGTTTGTAGTACAAGTAGTGTAGACTGAAGATTGTTTTCTTTTCCTTCTTAAATAAATTATTTTCCTTTCAGAATTTAATTACTTAAAAATAATATTTTCCATGACATTGTTTAATTGCATAATTGCATGTCTATTGTCATAATGCATTCCTATTTTATTAAAAAAAGGAAATGCTTTATCAAAAAATTAGGGTTGGGATTAAGGGTGAATATAGATGATGGAATGGATTGGGGAGGTTAGATGAATGCATGTAGATTTGTTTTGGAGTAGATAATAAAGAGATATATTCTAGAGATTTGAAGATGGAGGGGGCTCATACTATGTAGGATGAATCTAGTTTGGGCGAAAGATTTCGAGGGGTTTGTAGGTTACTTGAAGGCTATGGAGTTTGGGGTATGGTTTTGAGGATATTAGAGATATATAATTAAATGTATAGGTATACATGTTGACAACAAAGCTTGCATCTAGCTTTTAGGGAATGTTTTAGATTTTTTACAATGGAAGAAAAGGAAGAAAAAGAAGAAAAAGAAGAAAAAGAGACATCTGATTAAATATTATGTTAAATTGAGTTGGATTTTGAGAATACTTTGCTAACCTTATTAGAGAGAGAAATGGAGTGATATTACAATGATATAACTAGTTTGTAAGAAAAAATTGACTAGAAAATTCTAGATGGATAGATTTATTTGAGTACAGGATCACATAATGTATATGCCAAATTAGTGAGATTTAGGCTTATGGCACATGGTGGGTTACACGAGAAAAAATTTAAAAAAAAAGAGTTCTTTATTCAACTCAGTATAGCTAATTAACTAGCCTTCCGCCGGACAAATAAGTTCGTTTGAGTTTCGGATAAAGGATGAGTATCCTTAATGAGTTCTTTGGATAATAACCTCAAATGAGTTTGGTGAGATCATCAAATTGGATTGCAAGTAGCAAAAATCTTCAAGTGACTGTGTACATTGAAACAACTTCGTCGCCTTTTATATAAGTTTAATGTCTAATAGTTGCATGAGTTAAATTAATGTATTAGGTGACTTGGTAAGTTTCAACTTTAGGTAACTTAAGAATTTGAGTGTCATAGGGATTCAAAGGAATACTAAATTTATGTTCCAGTTACAAGATCAATGACTTGATGAAATCCATTGAGGCTCTTATTTTGGTTTAATCGGTTCAACTCAAACTAATGTTGATGTCCAATTTTTTTGTATCTTTTATTTTTCGTGCCTTTTAAGAGGCTTAGTGAGCAAAACATATTGTGGAAAAAAATGAATTTTATTGTATCCCCGTCTCTACATAAGCATCTCTATTTCAACTTTTTACTAAGAAAAATGAGCCATATGTATGTATGAGTCTTTTACATTTCTTCGACATAAGTGCATTGAGAATTTTTAAAGTTCTATTTATAAAGGGATCAAGCTATCTTAACTGAATAAAACATTATCAGACAAATATGTATATGTATGCGTCTCTTTCTCAGATCAGTTGGTCGGACATCTGTTTGTCAGTTGTAAGTCCCTTCTGGTCCGGGATTCAATTCCCCACGAGTGTAGGGTGTGGTACTCGAATTTTTAGGGCCATGAGGGATGGTTGAGGCTCGTATAATGACTTCCGACCATTCGTTTTTTTTTTATTCTATATATATATATATATAATTTTGCCACTCAAGTGATATTTTTTCCATCAGCAACCAACAATCAAGGCAAAATAAAAATAAAAACAAGCCACTTCCACCAGTTATAAATGTTATTACTTCTGTTTTTCATTTTCCTTTGGAAAGAAATTTTGGCTTTCCTAGTTGTCTAATAACTTCATTGGCAGCCTATCCTAAGCTAATGAAGATATTAAATGACTTAAATCTTAACAAAGCAAAGTACAAGCAAGCGAGAATTATGTCTTTCATTTTATTTTTGGGGCATTTACTGACATACAACACAATTTCTATGTATTTGCATATCTAAGAGCTAAAATTTATCTTTAATGTCACATTAGACAAATCATTGTTTTTAACTTTTAATTGTGAAACACAAATTTTTATCAATAAATAAGATGAAATATATACGTAAAAATTGAAATTTGTATGTTGGATATGTAAATATATTGGATTTAAGTCTCCCTTTATGTATGACAAAATCGAGATAGCATGAATCTCTGAAAAAAATATAAATACACGACAAATAAGTGGGACCTATAGTCAAAGTATACGGAGATCCAGTCCAAACACTTATTTGTTTAATTGGAGTAAAAATTGATGCTAAGGCAAAGAGAAAAACATCTCAAAGCTCAGATAAGTCAGCCCTTTCAGTAGGCAAGCTAATCGACATAGCAAGTCGAACAAAGGACAGCTCAACAGAGCAGGCCGAACAAAGGACAGATCGACATAGCGAATTGAACGTTAGGCAGCTCTACACCAGGCCGAATGAAAGACAATTCACCTTCAAATGAACGAAGAAGGTGAATCGCAGACTAAAACCAAGCCACGAATAAGCTTAGTCGAGAAATCTTCATATCATTTTCATGTGTTACCAGAGGAATAAACGTGAACCGACGATCGAAAGGCATCATGATCGACTATTAAAATCATTATTAATATATTTATATATTGTTCAAATGACCTTAAAACCCTTGAGCTTCTTTGCATAGAAGATGATCTTAGATGTAATTATGTACTATAAGTTTCTTCTATACTTATAAATAGGAGATAATTTCATAAGAAAAAGCTCTAGATACTCTCTTTTTTATTGTTCATTTTTTCTTCCATTCTTGTTTTCTTCTCTTTATACACTCCATGCATTGGCGTTATTCCCCGAACACTTAAGGATTCAATATCCTAAAAAGTGCGGCAAGCATGAATCATGTCATCAACAAGAAGAAAAGCACAACACAGGGAAAAAAAATTGCCGCTCAGAAAAAAACATTGAACCAAAGAATGGATGTAGATACCATAAGGGAAATGATGCGACAACAAATGATGGAGATAAAATAACAGCTGGTGTCAGAAATGAGAGAGCAAATAGTAGGTGCTTTTTAAGAGGTTCTGACCAGAGGAAGTTAAAATCCTCAAAGTCAGAACCCACAAGAATATAGTCGTCAAGAGCCCGATTGTCGGGATGAACCAGAACCCAACGACCAGCGAGATGGATTGGTCCTCAATAGTCGAAAATCTCAACCTATAGAAAAAAGGGCTGAGGATTCCCATTATCAATATTGTGTCAGGTTGGCCCCAGTAGAAAGACATCGCACCGTGTGAACTACAAACCTTTGTCAAGTTGAAAAGCTCCTTTCACTGATAAATCTCCAAGGCCAAACCTCCAGAAAAGCTCAAAACTCCTACCTCGATTCATATAAGGGTTTGACCAACCCAACTGATCATGTGGTTGCTTTCGAATTGGCAGTCAGTAAATTAAATATCATTGATGCATTCAAGTGTCGTTTGTTCCTTACCACATTGAGGGAGTTTACCTTCAAGTAATTCGACGCTCTCTCGGCAGGGATTATCTGTTCTTTCTTCAAATTTAAAAGGTTGTTCTTAGCCCACTTTGTCAGTGCACAGAAGCCGCGAAAGAAATCCCAAGCTCTTGCAGATCAAGCAGGAGGAAGGAGACTCTCTGCTCGTACATCGCAAGGTTCTGGTAGGAAATGCTAGAAATACAAAACCTGGAACCCTTGATTGCTCAAACTGCCTTGACATAGGGAGTGAAAAGGAACATTTCAAGTACGCCCTGAGCCAGTACGAATCGAAGTCTGTGGTAGAGTTACTAGAGATGGCCAACCACCACATCATAATAGAGGAATATGTCCTCAACGATCAGCGAGAGAAGGCAAAAGCAGAAGTTGATGACCAACAAAAGAGAGCATCGACAGACGATGGTTGGAGAGCGAAGGATGGTCCTTACCCTCCCACTTGTCCCCATTGTGAAAACAACCAACTACCCCTCAAAACAAAGGGAACACTAAAGGCAACAACCGAGATGGTATTGATACTTTGATCAACGATCGACCCATTATAACGAACGACTAACGCACCGCAGGAGCCACCCAATATGACCCCACTGAGAATTTGATGGTCTAACTAGTAGGTCATCCACGATAAAGAGTACTTCAAAAAACCTCGGCCCATCTAGGTCGGGAGTTCAACACAAAATCCGAACAAGTTCTGTGCCTACCACAGGGACCACGACCACAACACAGAAGAATGCAAACATCTTAGGTGTTTCGTCAAAGACTTGATTAAGGATGGAAAGCTGAAAGAATTTGTAACCGCCGACCAACCACTCGCAGGTAGAGGAAGGCCCCAACAAATGAAACATCTGACGAACCTGTCAGGGTGAACACCATTCAGATCGCGAGAATCATACCAGCGATACTTGGAGAAGGTGGAGAGTCTTCCCGTCGATCAAGCTTAAAGAGGATTTGGTCAAGAGAACTTCTCGCTACTGCTCTTATCCCACGGAGGGCAACACATCCCCCCATTATGTTCGTCGATGAAGACTTGTCGAAAATGGTAACCCCTATTACGAGGCAATATCATTACTGCTTTGATTAACAAATTATCAAGTAGGAAGCACCTTCATCGACACCAGCAGCTCGGTAAATATTTTGTTCAAAGCGGTGTTCGACAAGCTTAACCTAGCGAGATAACATATGAAAGTGCTTTCTGGACCCCTTTATGGTTTCTCAAAAAAAAGGAAGGCCGCCCTCGGTGTGATCATTTTGACAATCACCTGGGAGACAAGAACAAGCAATTCACCAGGACCGATGATTTTCTGGTGGTCAACTCCCCGCCAACATACAATGTCATCTTCGGTCGAGCACTACTGAACAACTTCCGGGCGATGACCTCCACCTATCATGTAGCTGTAAATCCTAGGAGACAGAGAGATCATTAACATTTGAGGAGACATGGAGCAGTCGAGGACATGCTAAGCGGTAACCAACATTAGAATCGCTACAGAACACTTCCCAAATCATAATTGATGCTACTGAACGGTGGACTCTTCTGGGTAAGGTTGATTCATTGTAGACCCTAGTTTTGTAACTCGAACACATACCAGGAGGTACAGATGGATCTCTTGATCTACGAGATGCTATGAATGAATAGTAAATAGTCCAAGTCATTCAAGTGGACGCATTACGCGTGTGACATCAGAAATTGATGTCAATAAACAAAAAGGAAGAAATATTGATGTGTATGTGGATGATGTATTGATAAAAAGTAAAACTGTCAAACAACACATAAAAGATCTAACAAAAATATTTAAAACCCTTAGAAATTTTAATATAAAGTTGAACCCCCTAAAATATATTTTTGGGGCCTCAACTAGAAAATTCCTAGATTATCTTCTAACTCTGAAGGTATCAAGGTCAACCCAAGCATGCCTTCTCCTCGAAGCACAAAGGAGGTACAAAGACTGACCGATCGAATAGTGGGTTTTAACCAATTCATCTACTAATCGACCAATAGTGTGCCACATTTTTCAAAACTCTGAGAAAAACGTCGAAGTTCAGTCTTAAGGGTAATAAATTTCTAAGGATATGATACTACTCTAAAAGCTTTATTTTGTTTTGTTTTTGTCGTTTGGGTTTGTTTTGTTTTTTTTTTTGCATTAGCCAATCCCATCTTTATTTTGTTTTGTTTTTTTTTTTTTTTTGTTTTTTGTCTTTTTGTTTTGTTGTTTGTCTTGAAATCCACCGTTCTAGTGTCGCCCCTGCAAAACAGAGTTAGCACATCCTAATAACATGTAAAGTAAATATAAAGTGCAACTTGCCTTGTGTCTTCAACAATCATGCAAAACAAAGTTAGCTTGAGGTTATATCTTAAATTTTCAATTTAGTTGGTTGAATTTGTTCGACAACCCGGTCAAGATGTCTATGGCTCCGTCATCCCGGGGTCGTCAAGGTATTCAGATCTACTTAGTCCGAAAGACAGTTAAACCAGGACTGGAAGATTCTTGTCAGCAACCATAGATTGTGTCATCCAAGAGATCTTTGTATATTTGAAACACTTGGGTTCAAGTTGAGTTCGGTGATCTTTGTTCTTTAGGGTTTGGCCGATGCTCTAGCAGGGGAAATGGTCAGACCCTTGCCCAACTTAGCAAGGGAACATCATCAAATAATTTGTTATCATCGGCATCATTGTCCAATGGCCTCCTCTTAAAGGTTAGTTGCTTCACTCGTCTCTTCTTGGCATGTTTGCTACCCTCAGGATGCTTTCCCCGATCATCGATCACGCCCCATCGGGATGACAACTTTTTGCGGGAATACTCGAAGGATGGATTTTCTCTGCCAACAGTTCAAAGATCTTCCTCAGAATATCATCCATTGGCTCACCAAGGTGAACCTGCCTACCACTTGCCATCATAATACCTTCAACAAGAAATGACCAAAGCTCTGGATAAAAGAAAAGTGCAAGAGTGAGCGCATCAATAACAACCTATTTATAAAATGAAAGTGCACAGAAAACTAGGAAATTTGATTATTAAATATTGATTATGAAATAAATGAATTTAATGTAACATTTAATGTGACATTTCATTTACTTGTTTTATTCGTGACAACAAGAATCTCGAAGAAAAATGAAAATACATGACTAATAAATGGGACCCATGGTCAAAGTATACAAAGATCTAGTTAAAATATTGATCTACTTTATTGGAGTAAAAATTGATGCTTAGCCAAGAGAAAAATATTTCAAATCTCATAGAGGGCCAAACGAAGGGCCGCTTGACTTAGCAGACCGACAAAAGATAGCTTTACCCTAGGCTGAACGAAAGAAAACTCACCACCAAACAAGCGAGCAAGTGAGTCGAAAACTGGAGCAAAGCCATAGATAAGCGTAGTCGAGAAGTTTTCATATCATTCTCATTACCGAACGAATGAACGTGAACTGACGACCGAAAGTCATCATTATAGACCACTAAAATCATTATTAATATATTTATATATTGTACAAGTGACCTTAATACCTCTAAGCTTCTTTGTATAGAATGAGGTCTTAGATGTAATTATGTATCAGGGTTTCTCCTATACCTATAAATATGAGATCATTTCATGATGAAAAACTCTAGATGCTCTAATTTTTATTGTTCATTTCCTCTTCCCTTCTTACTTCTCTCTCTTTATATGCTCCATATCTTGGAAGTGGTTCCCCGAACGCTTTAGGATTCAACACTTTAGTTTTTACACGATCAAATCATTCTCTCACCATTTCAGTAAAAAAAAAAAAAAATGCAAACACATGTTACAATTTATTCAGATTACATTAATTCTTGCAAAAAATAAACATTTGATGCCTTCTCATGGCACAACAAATCCACAAATTCCTTATAAACATCCTATGAAGAAAAGAAAGAAAACAAAAATGTTCATTGCAAATTGATTCTGTGTTCTCCTGATCACCTCTTAATAACAAAACAAAAAGAGAGATGGGTAATTATGGGCCCACTAAACATAAAAACTGTGCTCATGATATTATGTGCTTCTTTCTGCCATTGCTTCCTGCAGTAGAGCTCCCCTAACAAATCGACCCTGCCAAATCCACAGCATAAAATGCATAATGTCAATGCGATTGTTAATGATCCGATTCGGAGACAGAGTTAGGGTTGGCTCTAAATTGGCTCGAATGGATTGAGTACAGGTCGAAATCAGCTCGTGACTTGTTATATTCGATTTCGAGCTAACTCGGCTCGAAATTGAATCGAGCTCAATCCGGCTCGAAATCCAAACAAGCTTGTTCAAATTGAGTTATTTGGATCCGTCCAGCTAATAGCTGATTATATTTGATTATATATATAAATTTTTATAAATAAAAAGTGTTTTGAGGGTCTGAAATCAGCTCCAAAAAATATTCAATCCCGATTTGATCTAGAAATAAAACTAATTTTCGAACAATTAACTATCTTCAAGCTAAAATCAACATGTATGTGTGTGTGTGTGTGTGTGTGTGTGTGTGTGGAGAGAGAGAGAGATTAGACTTGCCTTAATCCGAGGGCGTTGATTTGCATTACTCTTGCGAACCTCATAGCGGATTTTTTTGGAGAAAAGACGATTCCTTCGTTTCTCCTTGTACCTCTGCATGCTCGATTCTCTCGCAGCTGCATCTCTAGTATCCTCCATATCAGCCAAGCTGACCTGCCCCTTTGAAAAATTAGACAATTATTTTAATTAGGAGTGTAAACGAGTCGATTCAAGCTCAAGTCACTCTCGACTTGAGCTTGAATTTGATTAATTTTATTAAATTTGAGCTCAAGCTCCAACTGAAATCTACGGGTTCAAGCCAATAAAATAGCCGGCTCAAGAGCCAACAAATCAAGTCGAGGTTAGCTTAAGCTTGGCTTGTTAGTTCTTTGAGCTCAGTTCATGAGCCACTTATATCGAGCCGAGCTCGAGCGGACCACGAGTCAGCCTGTCTCACTTACACCCTTATTAATCCAATCCAATAAGATAGCAAGCAATTATTAAGTACGTACAATAATTTGGGCGGCGGAGTAGGGAAACTTTGTGTCGCCGGAGAATGGAGAACCGCCGGACCACTCCTTGATAACGCCATCATAGTTAAGCTTCAACCCAAGCTTTGCCTTCAAAATGTCATCTTCCGGCAGAGAGACGGCGCTATTGAACTTTCTCTCTATGGCTTCCTCCAAATCCTCAACTTTCTTCTTCTTCTTCTTCTTGATCTTCTTCTTCTTTGGCTTGCTGTCCGCAATCACAGCCTTCTCCGGGAGCATGCTGAGTGTCGGAACAATGTCCCTCACAGCCACCGTCGGTGACCTCCACCACTCTCCTTCATTGGACTGCCTCAATGCTCCCCTGATGCTTGATGAAATGCCAAAGCAAAACCTAAAACCACCGCTGAGGCCAAAACTCTTCAGACTTGCGAGGCGAGGATCGATGATTGAATTTGAATTGGAAGAATTGAGGCAATCCCAATTGTTTTCTTTGCTCATGGATAGATTTCCCATGATGCTGTCGATGCCTCCATCCTCGGCCTCTTCGTCGAGGATTGATTCCGCATCAAAGTCCGGGGAGCCCGGATCCTGGTACTGAAAATCTGTGTTGCTGTTCATTATAGCGTATTGGGACTTGGTGGGTTTGTGCTGGACAGGGGACATGGCTGGAGAGGGGAGGTTTTGAAGCAGGAGGCCGGCATCGCCGCTAGAAATAGGGAAGGAAGGGATGAGGATCGGGAAAGGGTCGTCGGCGAGTTGTTTGAGATGGAAACTTGATCTCTGGATTTTGGTGGTGGAGAAGAGTTTGGGGTAGATTGAGGAGAGGAGGGCGGCAGCCTCGGCGGAGCATTGGTTTGGCCGTTTCCGGGGAGCTCTGTTTCTCTTGGTGGAGATGAAAAAGTGAGTGGAATTGCTAGATTCTGATAGAGTGGAGGAAGCTGAGGAGTGGGAGGAGCAAGGAGAATTGGGGAGGATGTCTAGGTCGAACCGGCAGGTTCGGCCGCTGGAGCAAGTCAGGCATGAGGACATTGGGAAGGTTGGAGAAGGCATAGCCGGACTTCTGCAGAGTAATTAAAAAGCAGGAGAAGCTTGATTTCGGCTGCTATATCTCAAAAATTCTGTTTGCAACCATAACTGAATCAAAATCCCAGCTTGACGGAGAAGACAGGCTGACAGTTTGTGGATTCCATAACCCGAAAACTCAGAACATAGAAGGAAATAAATGAATTCAGGAGGAGTATCTGATGAAGAATCAGAAAACTGCGGCAATTGGGAAGAGAGGTGACGAATTTCGGATGGATTTCAGAGTAGAGAAAATGTGTGCGCTTTCATCAAGAGTAGATGAAGAGCACGGGCTATGATATATATGGACCACCTTTCTTTTGCTCCCTTGCCATTTTTCTCTTTCCAACGCAAGTGTTTCTTGTCTTTTGTCTGTTGATTTGTACATCATAAATCAGTCATATATATATATATATATATATATATATATATATATATATATATATAGTTAAAAAAGAATGTTCTTTTTTCTTTACGGTTTTCTCAAGTAAAAATTTTTTGTGTTTCTACTTATTATTTTTTTTTATCTGAGTGTGTGCTGAATTTTCTTGTAACACGATAATCTATTAGTCTACCACCACAAATAATTATTACTTTAAATATGTTAGTGATCATACACGAGGAAGTTAAGTTGTTACTTTTTGTTATATTGCAACTTACAAGTATCATAGAATCACCACAACATCATATTTGTTTGGATTGAGAATAATAATATACACATAAATATAATATTAGAAGGCCTTTGCATAGCTTTTATTTTCTTTGAAAGTAAGATATTGGCTTTGTTTTATTACTATTATTATTATATTTTTCTTAAAAGAGAATCTGACGCTATAAAAGGCGAACATGCGATATCCAAAACCAAAAGGAGATTGCTTATAGGGTGACGTGGAGCGTTGCGATTAGCCGGTTGAGATTTTCTGCCCACGTGGCCAAATGCGTATGAGTCACGTGAATGGTAGGGAGAAGGGTGGGGAGAAGTCGGCTGTGATTGGATCTGACTAACGATATGAGCAGAAATTGTCAGGGAGCCTGGTAATTATTTGCGGTGGATTTAGGGCATACGTTGAGTCTCTAGGGTTCAATCTTTGGTGATTAGAAAACGGCTGACATCCACACACTTATAAGATTATCCCTGGGGCGATTGTGAGTGTCAGGATGGGCTGGAATATGCATGGGACAGAATCGTTTCTTAAAATATGTATATACGTTCGGACAAAAGTGTAGATATCAATTAATTATAATAATATTTTATGTTTTCTCTTTTGAAATATATACATGTATAATAAAAAAAATAGTCGGAGGCTATATGAGTCCCGATCATCCCTCTTATGCTTAAGAATTCGAGTACCGCACCCTACACTTGGGGAATCGAACCCCAGACCAAAGGGGACTTACAACTGACATATGGATGTCCGACTAAGTGATTGCAAGTTGAATATTTCAAAAATAAAATTAAAGAGTAGCTGATTTTGATTCAAGGCACAATTATTTTGATGTTTGTTTTGTATATTTAATTTATTATAACTTTTTAAAGTTTTGTTATTTAAATAGGGGTTTTTATATTTAATTCATTATAACTTTTTTTAAGTTTTTTTATTTAAATACGGAATTGTCTAAGTATTTTTTTTTTTTTTTTTTTTTTTTTTAAGTTTTTTTTATGTTACACGATTTCTAATTAATCTTTTAGGAAGTTCCAAATTTTTTATTGATTTATATTATTTTATTTAATCTTATTTAATCATTTTCCCTTGCTTAGTTGTTGATGCGAGTCTAGGGTCAACAAATTAGAGCTTTAAATTTTCTAATCTGACCTCGTCATGATCATTCATTTCGTAAAAGGCCAAAAAAGAGGACTTGATTACATCTACCATCATGCAGCAAATTGAAGTCATTTGCAATAATGGACTTAGCACAAAACCAATAGGAGTAGAAACCTTAACTCTAATTTACTCAAAAAGAGTCTAAACTTTAAGATAATTCTATTTTACATTAGATAAACCTAGTTTTACCTTCATTTCACAATTGAGGAAAGTAGAACCAAATTAAGAGGAATTTGGGGATTACCTTAATGTAGTGTAATTTCCTTATATTTGAGAAAACTGTTATGTTTACCTGAGGCTTGCAAGTTTTTTCTTTAATTATTGAGGTTGGAGGATGAGGTGAAGAAAAATTGAAACTTTTTTAGGCTCGGCTCAATCAAGCTTGGAAGTTCTTGCAATTAGAGGATTCAACTGAGTAAGAGGGAGGATGGAGACAATCTCTATATCTAAGAGGAATGATTTGGATTAGATAATTAAAAATTGTAAGCACTTGTTTGGACATTATGAGGCTTAACCTTTTTCATCCATAGATAGCTCAAGTAGGTGGTGGAGAGTTATAATGTCTTCTTGAGCTTAAAGGTGAGTGACAAAGATTAATTTGAGTTACCCCTTTGAGGCGACTGTTGGTGGAAAAAGACAAAAGGAGAAGGTCTTGATCTCGGGTTTAGGTTTCACCATCGATCTCAGAAGATTTATATCTAAATGTTCAAATGTTTTATTCAAAGGATAATATATTATCTTGAAGGGTAGAAATATTACCTTAAAATGAATCAAAACATTTGGACGAGAAAAATCTTGAAGAGTTATAGCTCTGTTTAATCAAAGAGTTTCATCTATCTTACTTGTGTAAGATAAAATTTATTTTATTCTGAAATCTAGTATTTTTAATAGTGCAATCTCTTATAGTTAATTACATCTCAAAAGTGGTGGCTCCCGAGATTACTCTTAATTAACGTATTGATTATAAGGTTGGTGTCTTCAAGATTGATGTTTTCATGCTTCAAATGAACATACTCGGGGATTGAAAAGATTTGTCTTGGAATTCAAAGAGTTGGAACTTACAATTAAATGGTGATATATCATCAAAATACCCCAGAAAAGGATTAGCCAACTCTGAGAAAAAGGTGTATTCTAGATATTGGAATTGTAATTTTCTTGAGAGAGATAAGATTTGGTGGGAAGGTTGGATTTGGTATGAAATATTTGATTTGAATTGATAGGATTTAGTTTGAGTTTGACTTGAGCTAAAAAGGTCTGATTTCAATTGATAGGATGTAACTTGAGTTTGACTTTAGTTGGAAAAGATTGATTTTGTTTATTAATTTGGGTTGTCGATTTAATTTGAGGGTTTTAATATAATTGAATTATTTACGGTTGAAAAAGGTTAGAAGCTTACCTGAAGTCATTTTGGAATTTATTTGAATTTTGTTTAAATAATTTTTGAAGTTATTTAGGGTTGTTTGAGATTTATTTGAAGTTTGTTTGAGGTTCTTTGAAATTTATTTAAAAATTACTTGAATTTATTTAAAATTTGAAGTTTGGTTTTAAATTTAATAAAGGCCTTGAAGTTTTGAATTTTTTTTTTTAGTTTGAAAAGCTTTTGAAGTTGTTTAAATGTTCAAGACTTTAAAGTTTTTTAGAAATTTTTTGAGGTTTTAATTGCTTGGGATTTTGAAGAGGATTTGAATTTTAATTGTTTAATTTTGAAATGGATTTGAAATTTTAATTTCTTAGGTTTTGAAAAGGATTTGAAGTTTTAAGAAATAGTTAAGTACTGATTGTTTAGGAATTCAAGTTTTGGAAAGATTTTGAAGTTTTAAATTTTTAAAGGTTTTGAAGTTTTAGAGTGGCTTTTGATATTTTAAAAGTTTTGTTTTTGAAAATTTTTTTAAGTTTTGATTGTTTAGAATTTCTTATGTTTAAAAATGATTAAAAATTTGAATTGAGGAAAGTTTGATTTGGGTTGAAGATGTTTGATTGGAGTTGAACCCTAAACTAACAGACATGATAAGCTACAAGAATTTTTATATTAAAGTGTACTTCAAATTATAACATAAACCTAGACACTATAATGAGACTAAATATGTGAAGTAACCTAATTTTTTGGCTTAACGCCTCCAGTCAATATGAACATGACTTTTCACTCTCTCGGGTTTGTCTGTATCTTTAAACTATTAACCAGCCAGGCTGTTAGAAGTCTGCACTTAGAGATGTTTGTATTTTCATATAAAATGCAAGTTGTGATGTTTATGTTTTCATGCCAAAAATGTAAGTTATGATGTTTATGTTTCAATGTGAGAATCTATATTGGGTTTGCATGCCTAGGGTTGGTTGTTCTTAAAGGTTAGATTGTTAGCAAATGATTTGCAAGGTTCACATAATTAGAGTAGGGTAATTTATACAAAAGAAAATAACTTTTTTTTTTAAATTATATAAATTCAAATGTGCTCTAAATAAACTATTTTTATAAAGTTTATATAAATTTAAGGCGAGCTCTAAATGAGAGAAATAATGATGTAAGTTTATGTATGCTCAAATTTCAAATATCATCATAAGCTTATTTTTTAAAAGTTTAAATTTTTAAAGGTGGAGAATAACTCTTAATAAATAAAGTTAATTTTTAAACTATAATAAAATGTTTTTAAAAGAAAACTTAACTGAAATATTTAAAAAAAAAAATCAAAATATAAGATTTTCATAAAATAAAACATAAAAAATAATATTTTCTAAAGAGAACTTAATAAAATCCTTTTTAAAAGAAAAATCAAAACAAACCCTTTTTTTTTTAAAACAAAACCTTAAAAAAAACTCCTAAAAAATTATTTCAAAAGAATATTAAATAAAGAATTTGTCAAAACAAAACAAAAATATCTCCCAGAAGAAAAATTAAATAAAATCATTTCAAAATTAAACTTAAACATAACGTTTTCAAAACAAAATTCTTTTCAAAATAAGATTATAATAAAACATTTTCAAAGTATAACAAAATGCAAATACAATCTTTCCAAAGTAAAACTAAAATAAAATACTTTCAAAATAAAATTGAAATAAAGTTTTTTTTGAAAAAATCTTGAAATAAACTTTTTTCAAAATGAAAACTAAATAAAACATGATAAAAGTGCCAAAATGGTCCCCGACTATGGATGGGTGGTCATTTTGTTCTGGGACTTGTAAAAAGTGTCAAATTAGTCCCAGACTATTGAGAAAAAGGGTTGAAATAGTCCCCTAATTAAAAAAAAAACTGAAATTGAGGTTAAAATTAACGGTGGTGTTGCGGGTCGGAGGGGTATTTCGAAGTTTTAATATTTTACTAACAGATTTGCATACATACCACCAACCGTTTAGGACTTTCATGTGATCGAGAATGTCATGGCTCGCGAGACGAGGTGAGCATAATAAGCGTAACATTATAGGGGTGTTGAGCAGTGAAGATCGTCAAGCATAATGACAGTTAAGGCAAGACCGTCAAGCATAACGACAGTTAAGGCAAGACCGTTGAGCATTTTAGGGGCGTTGGCGAGACACGGTGCGCTGGTTAGGAAGTTCACTTAAATTCATCAATGCCCAATAAGCATGACATTTCAATACACGTAAATTGTCGAGCACTGAAGACAGTTGAACAGTGAAGCCTGTACATGAGGGTTTCGAAGACTCCCGTCCGAGGCGAATCGGTGAGACTATTTTTAACACCCAGAAAAAATATAATTCAAAAAATGCCCCTATTTTAAACACCCTTAACCCCAATTCCAAATTTTGTTTTAAGGGTAGAACTATTACAATTTGTTTTCAGTAGTTTGGAGCTAATTTGACACTTTTTAAAGTCAGGGACTAAAATGACCCTCTTTAAATAACTGTGGCCATTTTAGCACTTTTCTCAAAAAAATATATGTTTTCACGTATTAAGATCAGAAGCAATTACATATAGACAACCAGAAACTTTATATTTGCCAACAAATTACTCTTTGATCGCCACACACATAAACAAATTGGTTTGATAGTTCAAAAAAAAATCACCTGGCTGATTTCTTTGTATATATCAATGTTTCAAGTGATCTATAGATAATTATCATGCATATGACATTACAAAATCATACTTTTTGTTAAAATGAATTTTTGTTTTAAATTTAAATTCTTATTAAAAATAAATTATATAGATCACAACTCATATTTTCTATTTTTATTAAATTTTTAATATTTTTTTATTGTGGCGTAAATAGACCAATTAGATTGTTCAAAAAAATCACATGAGTACTTAATTTATAGATATACCAATATTAAAATTCACAATGAAATCTAAACTCATAATTTTTATTTTTATAAAATTGTTAAGGAATTAAATATGGTAGTTTGAAGACAATAGAGAAAAAAAATCATATATAAATAAGACGGTGAATCCGTGTGAGCATTTAGAATGGAGCAACTCTAACAGCGACGCGTGTTCAGCCGTCACTACCGATTAGAACTTCAGACGACTCATCTGAAGAACTCATCCATACCATTTTCCGCCGCCCCTGCACTTTCATGGCCGCCGCCGGAATCAAGCTGAACCACATCGCCCGCGAATCGCCGGACGTCAAACGCTTGGCTGCCTTCTATCAGGAGGTAACCCACACCCACGGCCTCTCCACCTTCTCACGTCCCGTTTTCTCTTTATCTTTCCTTACGTTTCCCTCCACTCCGTAGGTGCTAGGTTTCGAGAGGATCGAAACGCCCAACTTCGGAAACTTCGACGTTATCTGGCTCCGCCTTCCTCCGGACTTTTCCCTCCATCTAATCGAGCGAGACCCGCAGTCAAGACTCCCAGAGGGGCCCCATGGCGCGCCGCCGGAAGGTGCCGTCGCCGATCCGAGAGGACTTCCTCGGGGTCACCATATTTCGTTCGGCGTCTCCAATTACGACCAATTTGTTAAATCTTTGAAGGCAAGTTTTTCAGATTCATACCAAACATAACGACTTTGTTGAATTAAAGCGATGGTTTTATTTTAGGAAAGAGGAATTGAGACCTTTGAGAAGACGCAGCCGGATGGGAAGACCAGGCAGGTCTTCTTCTTTGATCCCGACGGTGAGATTCTGCTGTTGAACCTTTTTGCATCATACAGCTGCTCAAATGTTTTATCGCACTTCATTTATCATTTTCATTTCGTCTCTTTCAGTTCTTTCAAATCTAACAGAGCCTAATATTCTTTCTCCTTTTCCTTTTCATGCAAGTAATCATAATGCACAGCAATGCGACTTGTTAGAAACCATAGAAACAATTAGTGAGGGAAACTAGAGCTTAGTGCTGTTTCTTTTTTAAGAGGGCGAGATCTTATAACCTCGAGAAATTTCATGAAAACTAATTCAATCCAATGTTGTCTGATCGTAATTGTAATGCCATGTTATCCATATCATCTATAATTCTTATTTGGTGTTTGCATTTGTGTTTGCAAGATGTATCATATTTTCAACTGTGTAGTTCATATATATACCATTTAAATATTGCTATTTGCAGCACTAACACCTCATATTTCAACTCGTCAAGTTGCCACCCAGATATTAAAGTTTTCAACGAAGCCCTAACCTTGTTTGTTGGTTTCATTAAATTCTTAATGATTTTGTCATAACACACACAATTGGATAGAATGGTGTTAGATTTATTAGGATGCATAATACCTGTGGAATATACAAATTCTTGCTATTATGATTTTATAAATTTCACCAAAAACTTGGCCATTTACAATACTAACAAAATATCATCATTTATCAAATTAATTTTCATGCAAACATCGAAATTCAGAGCACTCAGCAAAGCATTAACTTTGTAACTTTTTTGGTTTAAGCATTCTTAATTGCATGGGTTTGTTATTTCATTTTTCAAAATGGTACTAGAATCAAAAATATTTATTGATACATCACCCAAAAATTCATCTGATCAGACATAAGTCTTGTCGCGGTTTGGAAGTCAAGAATCATATTAAGGATCATTTGAAGTTTGGCTTCTTTAAATTTATAGTCAAACTGAATGCCTTAATAAGACAAATAGAACAACACTAATATTACCCAATTTGGGAGCAAACAAACATAGATCAAGCATTTAAAGCATAGATAGAAATTTGAAGCATTATTTGGAAAACTAATTGATCTTTAAATCTTGTCAATTTATATTCAAACTCAGTGCCTTAACAGGATGGGCCTAACATGCTCTATTTAGTTTAATTTTGAAACCATTAAGACACTCAAGCACTCAAAAAATACTTCATTATCAAGAAAATCACTTTGAACATTTTGATAGAGTCTTTTGGTTTTAGATGGTTACTTAGTGAATGTCACTCACAAAATCTATAAATTATCTCTCATCTACAAAACTAAAAAAAGAGAAAACTTGGAAGCTTAGAAAATTCTTGAGCTTTACTAACCCATTATACTAACCCATTAGACCATTGCCACGTGATTTTTGTTTACTAGTCATTGTCATCGAATTGTCGTCGCCTAGCCACTATCATCAGATTGGCATTGCTCATTGCCACCCAACCATTATTTTTGGATCACATTCGCCTGACCACCATCATTGGGCCTTCATTGTCATATCATATCATCACAACCCGATCATCATTGTAAACCTACCACAAATATCAAATTGCCGTCGTATAACCACCATCATTGTACCACCACCGCCAAATTGCATTTGTCAGGCAACCATCATAGAATTGCCATTATAAGACTCTGACTAACTCCTCCATCATTGTCCAATCGTTGTTGCCCGACCTCTGCCATAAGACCATCATTGTCCAATCGCTCCAGCCCGCTCTCTGCCATCAGACCTTCATTGCTCACTTGCTAACTTTCAACTTATCACCTCCTGGTCCTCACTACTCAATAATTGACAAACCATCATCTTCTAGTCATAACTATTTGATCGCCCCTTACAACCTTCTCAAAATTTTCCACCTCCTTTGAGGGTAGCTTTAGCTGCGAATAAAAACTCTTAATCTTTCTTTCTTATTTTTTTAATTTCACTTATATAATAAAATTAATTTAATTGGGTTAGCTTCAATGATTTTTTTTTTTTTGATGAGTTTTTTCATAAAAATTCTTTATTGTTTCATGTGTTCACTTTTCATCGATTTGCATTTAAGACTTTTGAGCAGAGTTAGGATGCAAAATTCTTTTACTCTAGGTTGCAATTTTTCTTTTTAAATGCAACGTCTATAATTTTGATGGCATGTAAAATTTTATTTATATTGCCTCTGACCTCTTTTGTAGAGGTCTAAAATTGGAATATGATATAACAAAATAAAAATAAAACACCATGTCTTGTAGTTCAAGGTTAGTATTGACTTGAGATTGTTGATTGATGGATCTATGCTCGTCGCTGCAAAAAATAGTCTTTGACTGTAGAGGGACTTCTGATTGGATGATGATCATCTCTACTAGATTGTTTTCTTGAAAATTTCATTTATGTTTTGATCTTTATACAATTTTTTTCTTAAAAGCAAAGATGAAGTTTGAACTCCTAATCTGAAAGTATAGATTCAGTGATGTTTTTTTTTTTTCGAGAAGTTTATTTAGGAGTAATTGTATTGGGTGACTTCTTTTAAATGAACACTTAGATAACATTTGGAGTGCTAAGACATTTTAATTTTTCTTGTTTAAACTGATTATAGTTGGAAATGTAAAATTTCCCAGTTTAGTTTTGTGTTTTAAATTTTTGGTAATTTTGCTCGTGTAAGGCCTGTTGTATTGTGAATTGCTTTGGAATTTTTTGTTTTCTTCTTAGGTTACATTCTTCCACTAAATAGTTGTCAAATTCTTGTAGGCAATGGCTTGGAAGTTGGGAGCTGGGGATGCTAATGGGAATATTATCCCACTCAAAGAAGAAAGAGATGTTGTTCATGAATAATGAGTTTCTGTTTTAACACTCATGTGGCCGAAAGCTCGTCCAAATTGGTATAAAGCCTAGTATCACGTATTGGTAAACTAAATCGTACATTTTGTGGGCTTCGTAATCTTATTAAGCAAGGTTTTGACTGTTTTTTGTTATTTAAAAGAAATTAGTTCAGGGCTTAAATATGAATTACAGCTTAAGCTGCTACTTTGTGGCCATTTATTTAGTGCATTTAAAAATTAATATTGGTTATATTTGGAAAGGTGAAGTTTTTTTATATGTTTTAGCAGGATTAAACAGTGGTAATTCTACTCTCCTTATAGGAAAAAATTTGCTTATTAATAGTTTCTCTATTATTTGATCTGCTAATGATAATTTTGTTTTTTCTTCGACATGCCAAACTCAACAACAATAATAGGATGGAAAGGAATTGAGGAACTATGCTTCGAACCAAGCTTATTTAGCATTTTTAACTAGTTACATTTTGGAAAGCATTTACAGGTGTTAAACAATGAGTGTCACAATGGTTAGTTTTTATACTACCCGCACCACCACCACCATATTATGCTCTCCAGTGAGCCCACATTATAGCTCTCTCAGCTCCTCTCCTCTGATGCTCTTCAATGAACCCACATTATGGCCCTCTTTTGGATTAGGAAATCCTTTTTTTATGCTTTCTAAAAGCTTCCTGTTGGCATCCATTTTTGATACAACATATGCAAGGCATCCTCGTTGAGTAACACAACACTATAGTTGGGTTCTACACCACTATAGATGTGCTCCAAGTTGATAGTGGTCAAACTATCATCGCCTCTGGTAGCTACTGCGTTGACATTCGTTCTTGTGGCACGGGGTCGTAGCTAGCTATTACAAATGTTCCTGTGACATAAATCGTTGACAAGGCTGCACCATACGTGTTCATTCCTTAAGCTTAAAGTCCGGAAATATGATTTTTACAATCTGAACCGTCGTGCTCAGTGACACAGGCACGGTTCAACTTCTCGATCTCTTTTAAGACGCGTTTGGGACCCCTACGGAGGTCTTAAGATCGTAATTGCTCATATACGATCCTCTGGAGGTTCCACGAGGCTCAGTCCCCCTCTGACAAGCTTTTCATGATGCTTAAGTTTTTTGGGATTCGGTGTGACCAAGCCTAAACTGGGGGTGGCCATGCCAAGGCGTCCAAAAAGACATCAAATGAGCCATAGTCGACGTCACCACGCCAGATCCTACGACGTAATTACATCACAATATGGGCGTGACCACACCCAAATTTGAAGAGGCGCACAAGTCCTTCGGAAAGTGTGACCCTCGAGGGTGGCATGGTCATGCCGACAGGCAAAACGTCGGGCATAATTATGTTAAGCCTGAAGCGTAGTCACGCCAGACCCCGTTTTGCAACACGTCAAATAATGGTGTGAGCATGCCCAAGCCCAACGTGACCACGCCACCATGACCCATTTCACGAATTTGGGCCGTCGGACCATGATTTTCCACCAGTGGCCCTCCTTTTTTTCTGATTCTCCACCCTAAAATGGTATAGAAAGCATTTTGGGACAATGCTACATGAGGAAGGTGGCTTAGATCGTTTGAGTGGATCCTTTGAGGAGGTTTAACCAGAGGAAAATGCCTCATTTTGAGGGATCGACAATCATTGGTGAGGAGAAATGATGAGAGCAAGGGGAGGATTCAAGGAGCTTCCAAGGAGATTTTTGGTGAGTTTCGTCTTTCTACAAGAGAAGTCCAGGGAAACAATTTACCTTCATTTTCTCCTTCTTTTCCTCCATTTTCTGGTCTTCTTCTTCATCTTCGGCAGCATTCCGACGAGATGAAGAGAAAAGCTTCCTCACTGTTTGGGGAAGGCCAACTCCAGCAACCTACTCATTCTATTTGGTGAGGAGAGCTTCTTCATCACTTGGGAGAAGGAATTCAATCATCTTTATCGTCTCCGGTGACATTCTGACGAGGCAATGAAGAAGCTTTCTCACATCTTTGGGGAAGACGCGATTTGGCGAGGCCAACATTGTCTCCTACCAATAGGAGATCATCTTCCTTGACATTGTTGGACGTTGGACAATCATCGCGGCGGTATAACTTTTTAAACTTTCACTTCTTTTTTCCTATAGCCCCTAGGTCTGGATGTGTAGAGGATTAAGAACTAGGTTTTGTTGTGCTTAGAGAAGACCTATAGGATAGGAATCCATTCGAGGACATCTCCGTTACGAGTTTGAGTGTTTACTTGAGGCTTAGCACCAAAATTCTATGAAAGCTGAGGTTTGGTGAGACCTTGTTGTTTGCTCCGACGGTTTGCTCCGACGGTTCAGTTGGATGGACAAGGGAAATCTAAGGATCGGGTAGACGAAGACACCCCTTTAGTCGTCATTTGTTTGAAACATTCTCTATAGGATTCACTCTTGAAAGTACTTTCCCTTATATTTTTCTTTCGTTTGATTCCATTATTATCGTCCCCCTTCATCCCCCCTGAATTCTCACTTCTCTAGGTCATTAACATGATTTGAAGAAGAGAAGTATTGAGAAAGGACCAATATAATGAAATTTAAGCTTGCAACTCCACGACTCCAACGACATCAAGCAAACGACAAAATTAAGACCAACGACGCTACTTCAAGTGACTCCAGCATCCGTAAGATAATCGTCCTTTGTGACACTTTTACTAGTCGTTATATAATTGTAAGCATGATTTCTTTCATCGAGAGTATTCTTGGAAACCCCTAAGACGTAATTAGCCAAAGGGATACATCCCTTAGAGAGTAGCTCTTGACCCCGGAATAAGAACACCCACTTGAATATCTGGTTGTGGGTTGCTTTCGTAAGTCTTCTTTATGGATATGCTTTCAAGACATTTTTTACCCAATTTCATTTTTTTTATATGCTTTTGGGCTATCACGCAAGGTTTAACTTAAGAAAGTTCTCCACGTATTTTTTCTCATTTGTCTTCATCGTTGTATGTCTCATCTTTTCCGATTTATTTCTTCTCCAGATCATTCATATGATCCGGAAGAGAGATTTACAATGATATACATGCTAATGACTCCAAAAATAAAAGAAAAAAAGTAACCAAAACACACACCACTCGCCCTGTTGTGCATCCATGAGCATAGACCCCCATATGCTTGTGGCAGGCCCCTCTTTAACATGACTTTACGTGCCTACCTCTTGACATCCCTATGTGACGATGCATCAACACCTTGTATGTTAGCACTCTCATTTGCACCCTCACATGCTTGATTTCATAGCATGTGGTATGTTTGTGGTTTTCAATCGAGTCACTGCTCCTGCACACTCATCCTTCAACACTCTCCTGTCCTTGTGGACGGCTTGCATATCAAGCCTACCCGTAGTGTGGTTCTCCTCTGAAGAAGACCACAGTGACCCCAACATCAACATGTCATTCTCCGAGTCACTGCCTCCTTTCCTTGACAGACTCAATCCCGAGTCAATGTCTCCTCAGTACACTCATTCTCCGAGGCACCGCCTCATTGACACACTCAATCTCGAGTCACTGCCTCCTTGAACCACTCATTCTATGAGTCACTACTTCTTCGACACACTGACTCTCGAATCAGTGTCTCCTCATCACACTCACCTCCACTTGTGTTGCATTTGCATGCACCACTTCGCACTGTCGACACATTCGTCATTATTATATGCCCCCATATACTTGTGGCAAATATTTGCTACCTTTCGATCACTCTTACTTTGATAGGATGATCACACTACACTGGATTACTTTGCATCGCATGTGCATCCCCGATGACTCCCCCTTAGTCATGATACGACAACTAGTATTGCCCGCGAGGACGTCTCCGTAGGCAATACTAGCTATAGCACCATGATTAGCACGCGTATGTTGTGATAAGATTCCTAAGGGTCTAAGGGGTTTCACTAGGCTTTTCCTTCTTATGACCTATTTTAAAGTAAAAAAAAAAATTATATTTTTATTACTTATATGCATCATATTTTTCAAATTTTACTTTGAAATTATTTACATCCCTACCTTAGATCATATGTAAGACCAGTCATTTTAAAACTTAAAGTTTTACAAGATCTACATCTAATGAGACCTCTTAGAATCCTTGGATCTTTAGGATGGGGCCGGAGACAACGACCCGTCAAAACATACGCCAGCCTTCTAGCATAACTTTGCACTCACTTAGATGCTATGTTAGGACACTACGTTAGATAGCATGATAGGCTAAGGACTAGGGTGTTAAGTAGTTTTTTCGATGTCCTAGCTATAGTTCTCTGCTAGTTTGATTGCCCTAGCCAAAAATCACCTTTTGTGTGCTTTTGTGTGTTTATCGAGTTTGAGACATGCACACTAATATGTTATGGGTGATTTTCTTGCAGGGGAGTCATGCTTAAACACATACACACACATGTAACAGGGATGAGCAAGTAATGATTTGAATGACTTAATGTTTTTTTTCTGCAGGTGCTACTAAGCTCCTTCGGTTAAACATGACTCATATAAGTTGCATGTAGATAGTTTTTATGCTAAATTTGTTTTCATGCAGGTTGAGTCTTTTTTTTTTTTACTTTTCTTATGTATTTTTTAGAGTCCTTAGGAGAGTCTTGTATTATAAATAGGATACTGACACGGGTTCCAAGATATTACGAGATACCAGACGGATGGAATCACATGAGGGGGGCAAGATTTCGCTTGCTCGTGTCTTGTACTTTAATTCTAAATCTCATTGATGTATGAAATTGGGACCAAGTATGTACTTATGCGGTGTCTTGCTCTTTTTTTCTTGTGATTTTGTCCGGGAATCGTGCAGACCACTTAGGTTCCTTAGGATCTAATTTAATTTTTTTATAAAATCCTAATTAAAGTTTCAGGTCTGATTAAAATTTAGGATTAATACTTTTAATATTTTTCAAAATATGTCTTTACTTTTCTACATAGCATTCGGGACTGATTTTAAATGGGTTGCATAACATGAACATAACCCAAAACATAACTAATAGGGCCTTCACGCTAAGGACTTATTAGATAGATGCATCATATTGCATGTTATGAGGAGAAGTCTTCATATTTCTCCAACTCGAATGACCAAACAAAGTTTTCTACTCAGGTGGTTGTCTAGTGCACTTAAGGTACTAGTGGCATCCCCTACCCAGATTGGGAGTAAATCCTTTGTTTGAAGTATTTTTAGTTTTGTAGCTAGACCTCATTGCTCTTTTCACTCCAGTGGCATCCTCGTCATTTTGGCAGGTATAAGTCTCACATTTGGTCTTCTACCTACATAGATTTATAGGATTAAAGTTATCTTATTTTGGCCTTAAGACTACCGAGATCTCCTTGGATGACACAATTCACGGATTGGTAAGACGAGGGGGTTGTGTTTGGTCGACTACATTCGTGATGATGTAGACTTAGGGTCCATATAGCTTGGGATGACAGATTTGTGTTATCTTGACCCGCTATCTCTATCCGATTAAAATTACTCTTCCCTTCCTTTATTTTCCCCCTTTGAGCCTTGTCGCTCATTTTGACACTTCGTCGATGACGTCTCATTGGCCCCGATTATGGATAGGCCGCCGCCCATTTTGGATATGATGATTACCTCTACCCTTATGGTCCGGTCTTACCTTGGAAGCATAGTGTGGATCCTATGGACGACTCAATTATTTCATAGACCATGGCGTATATAAGCCGTCCTTTGTACGGGATCGTGACATATTTACTCTCTGCCTATATGAATTGGCTTTAGCTTTGAAAGCATCAGACGCTCCTGTGAGATAATCGTTCTTTGTGACACCCTGTACTAGTTGTTATACAAGTGTTAGCATGATTCCTTTTATCAACCTCTAAGATGCAATTAATTAAATGGATACATTCTTTAGAGAGTTGTTCTCAACCCCAGAACAAGCACTCAAACTTCGAATCTTTGGTTATTAGTTGTTTTTGTAGGGTCTTCGTCGTGGATATGCTCCAAAGCATTTTCGATCCGAGCTCATTTCGGACATACGCTTTTGGGCTATCATGCGAAGCTTACTCTACAAAAGTTTTTCACGTGTTTTTTTCTCATTTTCCTTTATTTTCATATGTCATTCCCTTATGATTCAGAAGAGAAATTTACTCGGACAATGAAATTATATGACAATAAATAAGCTCACGACTCCTTAAAAAAAAAGAATGAAAACACATTGAGGGGGATGCAAAGAGTCCATTTAAAACTGATTTTATTGTCGTCTTGGGAACGGTGGCGGTCGCTGGCTGATGCTTCCTGGATCCCGATCGCTAGGGCAAGGAAGGCAACTAGCGGCTTTTGCGATGCAGCAACGAGGGGATCTTTGGGGTTCGATGACCAACCATGATGACAAAGGGTCGGCAGTGAAACGCTCGACAACAATGGCTATTCAGCTTTGCAGGGTGTCTACTTGTTTTGAAGTTATCCACCAGTGGGGCAAAGGTGGCCGACTAGCACGGTGAGGCAGTATGGTTTGACAGCAAGGACGCTCTGGGAGTGAGGCAACCGACCATTTGGAGTTGTCGGCCTTGAGCAGAGGGACCAATATAGTGAGGCCGGCCGATGAAGCAGATGACTGACGGGGAGGCCGACAGTTTGTCTAGCATGTACATTTGATCGATGGAGAAGCCAGCAGTGAGGAAAGAAAAGATTGTAGCTCGAGCTTTGAACCTCGAGCTTTGAACCTCTACATAAACATTAAAATATATAGTTTTACCTAATAAAGATTTATGGCATCTCCACATCCCCATATCCAACCGTGTGATATTTTAAGAAACATTTGAATGGCACCATTAATGGATCTATGAGGAAAGAGGTGTAGTTTCTTGGAGATCGTCGACGACGAGGAATAAATGGAATTAATCCCCTGTTGTGCGAGTTCCCCTAGTGTGTGCTCTTTACTAAAAGCATTTCTCTAAAGAGTTTCTCCTTGGTGTTGCTCATGTTCTTGTTAACAGCACAATCCATGTTTACCGCACCTTTTATGAGGTGTTGAATCGAAAACTGTTTGGTAGATCGTAGCCAAGGAATAGAGCTGGAGAGAGAGAGAGAGAGAGAGAGAGAGAGAGAGACTTGCCCCCATCGGGGGCAAATCAGGGTGTTTTCGGACTTGTTAACCCATTTTATTCTATAAAAATAGAGTTTACTAGTGAGGGGAGCCAAAAACCCCTTTATTTGAATGGGTCCTATTTGTAGATGATAGAAAGTCCAAAAAAATAAATTGCAATATTATTTTTACTTTACAAGAGGGCAATACATCATATTTCAGTGTGTATTATGTCGGGTACTATTTTTTTAGTACAGAGTTATCTATATATACTCAATTTTTATTAAAATTGAATTATTAAATATTTTATTTGATTTTTCGGCGTCAACCTCCAAGCGTCACATTTCGTTTCCTATAAACTTACCTGCACCACCCAATCCACCCTCCATCTACTTGGAGTCTCTCCCATACTCCGCCATACTATACCCCAATCAAGCAAATGAGAAAACTCCATACACACGCGCACGCGCGCACACACAAAAAGGGCCTTTTGCCCATTCGCAAGAAGGTTGCCGCTCGACAGATCCCATTTTCTCCGGACGAAATTTTAAAAGTGACATTTTTTTTAAATTTTATTCTCCTAATTAAAACTGTTAAATTTTATTTTATAAAATTAACAAAATCACCATGTGGCGTGGTGATTTGTGCCACGTCGCTAAAATCACTATGTGGTACGGCAATTTCGCCATGCGGCAGAAATCTCCCTGCCGCATGATGCGGCACTTTCTCTTAATTAATTTTTTTTTTAAAAAATTATGTATTTCCCTATTACAACCTGAAATAAATAAAGACAGCAAGCATAATATAACAGAAATAATACATTCAATTAAAGCTTCGCATCGAAGCTGAATGTTCATCTACAGTCAAAAAATCTTATACAAACAACTCTTAGGTAGCTCATACATACATAAACATCACATGTTCTTACAAACAAGCATCAGGTTCAAGAAACACTACTCAAATCGTCGGCAGCTTTTTGGATTTCCAACTTCTAGATGCAATCGAGATGGAGACAATAAATGACCCTGAAAGCCGGATGACATTTTTGGCCCAACAACAGAGCATGTAGTAGGAAGCAGCAGATCTCTTCGGGGAAGAAATTTTGTCCTTAATGATGGCCAAAGCCTGCATCTCAAAAACATGCAGAAGTAGGAAAAAATAATAAGTTACGCAATCAAAGTAAAGAATTTGTCATGGTTAGGGATAGAAGTTTATTACTAGGTTATATTCAAGAAGTGAAAATATTCAGTTCGAGTTTGATAAAGCTTGAATTACATTATAAGATGCTCCTGCATTCAATTTGAATTAAGTTATTAGTTACAACTGTAAGCATAAACTTACATTTAACTACGTGCATAAATCCTAAGCATAAATTAAAACATATTTTGCATAAATGTCGCATAAAGCTAACAAACAACACATTAAATTCCAATAAGTTACGAAAAATAAAATCATAGATAGAATGTTTTCCAAAATAAAATTAAAAACATCATCAATGCCACAGGGATCATTGTTATCCTAAACCCGTTGCCCATGATGATGGCTCAGCCTCGCCTTGGGCATTGTACCTGTAAGTTACACGAATACTAATGAACGTGCAGTAAAACAAATCATATAATACAATGAATTTAATTGATAAAGTTACAATAATTTTTTATCTATTCTTTCTTGAGTTTGGCAGGTAAGTGGACTTGTAGTGTATGCATAAAAGCGTCATTGACACGGCCTACTGGGGTGATTATGATGCAAACAAATGACCGTTAGTAGATTGATGTGGAGAAAAAATTGCCACTGCGCAGTGATTTTGTCTACTTTATATGTTAATTTAAAAAATCAATCTAATTTAAATATAAAATTTTTAAATAATTCTATTTTTAAAATTTCACATTTTCTTTCTCCCATTCACCAAAAACCCCATTCTCTTTGCCTTTGTCCCTAGCCTTAAGTTTTACGCCGTTGTTAGGCTGCTCATTCCCGCCACATCTTCTTCGACCAATTGTAAGATCTTAGAACAAAGAAGAGGAAGAGGAGCCTAAAGTAAGATAAGAACTAAACGCTCTGTTTAATTCTCTTACTTTGATATGATACAAAAGCATATATGAATATAATACACAGTGGCACATTTGTAAATATACTTAAGGGCATATTCGGCCTTACAACACACATAATACAACTAATATAAGTATCTTCTCTTTTGCAAAAACCAAAATCCCTAAGAGACTATATGACAATAAAGGAGATTTAAGTTAGTAGGATTTGGTAAAAATCCAGATTCAATAAATCTTAAAAGGGTTAAATCCGAAAAGCTTTTTGGCAATATATTTAATAAATACTGTTAAATCTTCTTAAATTATTTTACAATTTCTATCATGATTTAAAAATCCATTATAGTTGTTAAAGTAAATCATAATAAGATTTAGGAAATGATGTAAATTTGACTTCTTAAAACATTTTAAAAATCTCAAACTAACTTCTTAAATTTAATTAATAGTTTATTTCAAAATTTGATAATTAATAATTATATATTGACTAAATTAATTAATTATTACAAAGTGAATTATTAAATAAAAGCCTAACATTTATAAAATGTAATTAATTAGTTATTAATTATATTTATTAATACTTATAAATTTATTGAATGAATAAAAAAAGTATATTTATTTTTTACTATTTAATAATTAAATAATAAATAAAATGAGAGATTTACAAGCATAGCACCCAAAACTATATAATTGACATATTTCACACCTAAATTTTAATATTTACATTTATGCACTCCACGGTTAAAATTCTAACCCCGACAGGCCGACATTGCTGCTCTTCCTGGAACCCTTCCCCCGGCCACGGAAGCGAAAGAAGCGAAAGAAGCGAAAGAAGAGGATATTGTGGGCAATATTGATTTAAGTTAAATCCTTCAGAAACGGGATCATTGTCGGTCCCTGGCAGGATTTAGGTTAATCCTGCTTAAGCCCTATATAAATCCTGCTACTAAGTAGCCCCTCCAGTTCAGCCCTAGACCTAGCTCCTTGTACACACGAACAGAAGCAGCAAGCTGACAGCTCGCACCTTTCTCCAGCTCAATCATAGCAGCTGAACTGCATCGCCTCGCCTAGCGCTGACAACCTTAAGGCCGACTGCCACCGATATTCATTACTCAAAACTCTATTTGACGGCTAGAGGTGATTTTTTTAATTTTTTTCTTTTTTTCCGCCTCTAAATTTAGAGAGCTTTGATATGCAATGTGAGAAGATGAAAACCTAACATGATTGAAGTCATTCATTCATTATTTATGCATTTATTTTTTATGTTTTTTATGTTTTGCCAATTGAGAATTTTATTAGTCTGGTTCGTGATTACAATTTATTTGGATGAGTTATGTATGAGAACTGGATTGCAGGTGATGGCTACATTTGAATTGTATAGGAGGTCAACCATCGGCATGTGCCTGACGGAAACCCTAGATGAGATGGTCTCCAATGGCACCCTCAACCCAGAGCTTGCCATTCAAGTGCTTGTGCAGTTTGATAAGGTTGGGTTGAAAAGAATTATTCGTGTGAGCCTTGAATTTGATTTATCAGCTGTTTTATATTTTTTGCTTGCAGTCTATGACGGAGGCTTTGGAAAATCAAGTGAAGAGCAAAGTCTCTATTAAGGTATTTTTGCTTTACTTGATTTTCTTGCATTGTTACTCATAGATTTTAATTCAGCACTTATGTCTTGGTTGCTCTTTGATGAGGTTTATGGACGTTAGGAAGTTAAATAAGTTGTTTTATTTAATGATTGTGTAGCAAAAGCACTTTTTGCAGTTTTTCCCATTAAAATGAAATCTATTATCCACTGTTTGCAGCTCTTTAAATGCTTTTGCATGTTTTTGGTCTCTATTTGATTGCTTGAAATAAAAAATCGGAGGAGCACAGCTGATAATCATCTATTTTGGTGGGAATCTGTTGGATATTAAAATGTTAACTGGGGATTGTATCAGGAATAATGAACATTATCATTTATTTAATTTATTTTTAAGTCAATTTACCAATGTTCTATACTATTTGTAAGTTCCATGCTATTATTGAATGATACCAAGAAAATTCGTTATTAAATGAAGGAAGATAAAAGCAATGAAACCTATTGGATTATAGAATTAAGCTTTAAGAACTAATGTTGACATTGCAAGAACTTGTTAAAAGCACATTTTGTTTCTAATAATTTGATTAGCTTTAATTATTTTCGTTTGCATAAGTCCAAGGGACTTTTGATTTTCTTGGGAATGGATGAATCCAACGTCGTGTACAAATGAAATCATTGGTCTTATTCTTATGTTTAATGAAATTTAGGTATGGTTGAATCCAAACACGAGTAGAAAGGATCCAAATTCGAAGTATATGAAGATAAAGTACGAGCCAAGAAGTATCTTGTAGATTTCATAATGAAATTGCATGACAAGTACACCTTATTAAAAAAAATGAACCACTTTAAGAGAACTAAGAAATATAAATGACCTAGATAAATGGATGAACACAAATGGTATTCTTATTTGAGAAACAAGAAATAAAAAAGACAAGTAGATTATGAATAATTGAATAACTAGATGTCCCATGATGGTAAAGTTCATCGTTTGCCTTAACGAGTTTAATCTTTCTCCTCGAATCTTGGTCCATAAATACAAGCGATGAAAAATTACAAAGCATTTTATATATTTGGCGAGTTTTTTAATGAAAACAAGATTTATATATAACCTTAGTGCATGAGCATTTTTAAAAGGAAGGGTGTTACATTGATATCTCAATGTGCTATGACAACAACAAGAACAACGGAATAATATGCTATAATGATTAATGTATTAAAATATTGTGAATGGTGAGAAATGTGAATTTTAGCTCTTCAATCAATTGCACAAAAATTAGTCAAACTTTTTCTTGAGACATTTAACTCAGGGAATTAAAGATGAATCTGAGAGTGCCAATGAGCAAGTACAAACAAGTTTCATCTCAAGAGATGCTATTAAAACTATATTTTTTTCAAATATCTTCATTGTTTAATCATCTCTCTTGATTTTTACAATGATTATCTTCTTTGAGCCAAATAGGCTTGAATTAAAATTTATGTTGTCCTTTATTATTCCTCCATTCTCGACACAGTAGTTGTCCAATAAGCTTACAACAATATTCCTTCAATACCTTAATTCTTGTAGTAAACACAACATATATTGTCCATGTTGTCTTTCAATTGTCAATCTTTTCAAAAAAAAAAATTAAATAAATTTTCACTCCCTCTTTCTTGTATTTGAGATTTAATCCTGGTCATAAGGATTGAATTTTTTTATGTATTGGGGCTCATGCAGTATTACCCTATTGGTTTCTTGAGGACTAATTGAGAAAATTATAAGAGTCTGAACCCTCACCTAGTCAAATGTATAGTATTTCAAAAAATTTATAAACACAATCTTTGAAATAAATTCTTTAAGAATGATAGGATTTTCTGGGCACACCAAATACTCAATAATGACTCAACTATTGCCACAAATTTTTGGATAGGCATATTCAATTATTTTATCCTTCTTATTTGGTTCCACTCATTTTTTTCTTGATTTCATATATTTTATGCAACATCATGAGCTTTTGCATAAGTATGACAAATAAAGTCCAAAATCTCTTTACTATAAGACTGTTACTAATTGACGGCTCCATTGAATTGGACAGCCATGACATAATTAAAGAGTTAAATTTATCCTATGTATCAAACATCGGATATCTTTTTTTTTATTTGGTTCCAAAAGAACGGTCAAGTTTCTACTTATCTTTCAAATAACTTGTGACAATCTATTACCATTTGAGATATTTTTTTTTTCATTCAATCAATGGACAGGGTTTTCATTCTATGGATCTCTAATTTGTTCATCGTAAGAATGACTTTATCATATTGGATGGTAGTCCCTGATTTTGCCATTGTGATGGGTCAACAGAAGGTGTTGCGGCTTCAACAGCTAGGAAAAACAGCTGTTTGAGCAAAAATAAAGAAGGCTGCAGTAAGAGAGAAAAATTCATAACTCAAAGAAATAAAAGTTATTTCCAACCATCGGAGTAAGGGATAGACAATAGTTTATGTGAATAGTATCAAAAAGCAATGCAGTCTAGACTGCACCAACTAGAGGATTTGATCGAATAATAAAAAAAAAAGCCTATGAAAATGAAGATCACCCCAAGAAAAAGAAAATTTTCAAGGCTATAATACCACAAACGAAAAAGTAGAGAAAGAAAAAAGGGCCAGCAAATGCAGTTTTTATAGCAATTCTTCTTTCATTGATTCAAAGTTCTGGTCAATATATATGTGCTTTTAGAGATAAATAATAAATTGAGCAAGACTGAAACAGAAACAATTATATAAGATTACATTAACACATTCTTATGAAAAAATGTATAAAAGCCCATCTAATATACATGTAAATATCTTGCAAATATACACAAATAAATTTCAGAATGTGCTGTGATCGGTTGTCCTTCCAATATTGTCATGACCATCTTGGACCCTTCCCTTCCAGCACATTTAAATGTCCATATGTACTTTTAGTTACTTTTTGAATTTTTGTATTGCTATTCGCTTCGATTATTTACCGTATCTCCATCAATGATTTGTAGGAGAGAAACCATACTACTTACTTTTATCCAATTTGTTATATCTATGGTGCACCTATCCATTAAGAGTGATTCACACAGCTGACAGTTTGATTGGTACATGGGACACCACTAACTGAAGCATTATTTCAGTCATTTCTTTGCAATAATGCATTTTCTTATTTGTTCATTCAACATTACTTCACTTGTTATTGGGCCTTAACAAATGAAAAATGATTTGTCTGAGCTTGTCAATCCACATATGAATACTTCTTCAAGCAGCTATTACATGCATATACTATAATGGTTTTCTTTAATCCAGTGTCATTTTTTCACCGTGTTGTTCCAAATTATTTTCATTATTCAGCGTTAATTTATTATTTTGATTTGGTTCTCATTACATAATAATTTTTGCAGCTTATCTCCTCTATTACATCTTTCGCGTTTATTCTAGACTTCAAAATGTCATACATTTTCTTACTTTCACTCTTAACTTATCTATAATGACCTTCAAGATGCTTGATAATTGCAACAAGCATCAGCTTTGCCCAGTAAAATATCACAAATTTCTTCGTTCATAAGTTTTATAAGTAGTTTCAGGGTATTAGCTTTTATGTGTGCAAGTCTTTCCCATAAAAAAATGATCATGTTACATTTGGCCTTCTATGGATCATATAGAGTTTTTGTAATATATTTTTTTATTAATTCAGTAACAAGGACTTGTTGGAGTCAATAGTTGTATCTGAATATTCAAAGATTGCATTAAAGTTCTTTGGGGTTCTTTATGAACAAATTAAAAAGATTAGGAAAAAGAATGCGCTCCAAGTGATTATGATTAATAACTCTAGATATGTTGCAAGTTACTAGTTTAAAGTATTTTATGCATATAAATTTAATTTTTTATCTCGTCGTGGAGTGTGAAGACATTCTAAATTTTTTATAGCGCAAATGTTTATGTAAAGAGGATTTACATTTATTGGACACAATGGGCAATCCATTGCATTAATCTGATGTTGGGGGATATTGGGAAGACTAATCAAGTGAGAAATTTTTTCAAAAGAGCTTTGGTGTCAATGGATGCAACTGAATGGTCAAAGAATATATAAAATTTTATCATGCTCTTTGATGTACAGATTGAAAAGATTGGTAAAAAGATTGCACCTTATTGGGTACAAATAGTCTCTATAGCTTTATTGTAGCTAGCTAGTAATTAAATGTATTTTATATTTTGTGAACACATTCAGTTGTTTTAAATTTTTGTTAATTTCTATGTATAATAGAAATTATTAAAAATTTTAATTTGTAGATTCATTTTCAAAGCTTACCATTAAATTAGGTTTATACATTACATTTTTTTCAAATTTATATCAAGTTTTAAGTCATTTATTAAATAATTCATGTTTTACACGTATTACTGAATGTCTGATCAGAGTTATTAAAAAATATTACAATGTGTTTATGTATATATTGCGCAATGAATTAAAAAAGGAACTCTTGTATATCGCTTTGCACTTTGTGTTTGAAACATTGATTAAAGATGTGAATTCTTTGATGTATATGCAGTAAAAAATAGATATAATTATATGAGATAGATCTTAAAGAGTACCACTTAATGAAAAGTAATCAGAAAGTAGATGGCCTTGCATGTCCCATAAATGTATAAGATGTACAGATAAAATGTGTGGATAGAATCAATGTTGAAGGGTTGGACAAGAAAAATAGAAGGCCAAATGTAACATGACCATTTTTTTATGGAAAGACTTGCACACATAAAAGCTAATACCCTGAAACTACTTATAAAACTTATGAACGAAGAAATTTGTGATATTTTACTGGGCAAAGCTGATGCTTGTTGCAATTATCAAGCATCTTGAAGGTCATTATAGATAAGTTAAGAGTGAAAGTAAGAAAATGTATGATATTTTGAAGTTTATAATAAACGCGAAAGATGTAATAGAGGAGATCAGCTGCTAAAATCACTATGTAATGGGAACCAAATCAAAATAAAAAATTAACGCTGAATAATGAAAATAATTTGGAACAGC